ATAAAATTTAATACGTTTCGATTTTAAATTAATTAAAATTTAATATAATTATTCAATAATGAAAGGTTAATAAAAAAATGAAAAAAAAAAAAAGTTAATACTGTATTCACGCGGTAATAACTCATGCACGTTTCTTTTGTGGGAATTAAAAAGCGCAGCGTTACCAGCTGTGGCTCGCGAGCTCCAGCTCATCACATTCACGGACAATTTCCGACGCGCAGGGCCGACTTAACTTTCCCGAAATCTACTTTTTTTAATTTACTCAATTACCCTTCCCTTTCCCCGTATTTACACCAACGCCCTCTCTCGCGACGTTATTTGCCGCCAGCCGTGGGGGATCGAATCTTCCGGTTCAACCAAGTCAAATCCCATTTTTGTTCCACTCGTAGGCTACGAAGATGTTCAAAACGACAATAAAATATAATGCGTGGTGGGACGCTGTTCTAACTTCTAACTACGACCTTTTATCCTTTTGACCACCGGCTCGCAACGCACCAAAGATTTTTTTTTTTTTTTTTTTTAAGGACTCATTGGTGTATCAATTAAAAGTTTTTTTTTTAATGTTAATTATACAATAAAAAATAATTATCTTTTTTTTTTATCTCATTACACTTCATTCGCATGTTATATAATTTGAATCCATGAGTTTTTACTTTTAATAAAAAGATATTATTACTAAAGTATTTAAATTGTTGATATATATCAATTAAAAGTTTTTTTCTAATGTTAATTATACAATAAAAAATAATTATCTTTTATTTTTATTTCATTACACTTCATTCACATGTTATATAATTTGAATTTATGAGTTTTTACTTTTAATAAAAAGATATTATTATTAAAGTATTTAAATTGTTGATATATATCAATTAAAAGTTAATGATTAATAACTTTATTTAATTTCATATTTGATAATTATAATTGAGACCCTTTAGATTTGATTAATTTAAAAACTACTAATAAGTGGTGTTGGGTACAACTTTATGAAAAATGATGTAATTAATTTGTAATATTATAAATTTATAATTATAATATATTGTGATATTATTGATTTTTTTTTAATTTAAGAGTTTTATTGATTATAATATTATACGTGTATTTATTTATTTAATAATATATTATAATTATAAATTTATAATTTTAATTAGGTCGAAAGATTTAAAAGATTTTCTTTAGTAGTAAATCATTGGTATTCTAGACCAATTTATATGTATTAATCCACATCCTTCATATTAAGAGAAGAGGATTATAAAAGGAAAAAAAAAATCTCAAAAATTGAACATTTGTGCAAAACATGAGAAGCGAATCCATACCCACTAGTGTTAAACAAGATGGCCAAAAAACAGATGCTAAACAAATTATCACCTCAGAAGTACGAGTGATATCTAATAATCAGAAATCGTAAGTTCAAATCAAGAGAATAATGATAAGAAAAATAAAAATTTAAAACGATAATTTAAAACAAAAATTTGAAATTAATGATATTATTTATATTACTATTAAATTAATAGATATAAATAATATTATGAATTTTAAAAAATAAAAAATAATTATTAAAGAATATAAAATTTATTCTTAATATTTTAAATAATATAATTTATATCATATTATTAATTTTAAATTTTAATATCAAATTTTAATCACATTTATTATTAATTAAATAAAAAAGTTGTATTATATTTACATGTCATACGCGTTGTCTGGTCTCTTGCATAAATAGCGTGTCAATTGCAAAGTTGATCCATAATACAAGGTGACTGCCTTCAAAAAAGGAAAAAAAGCGTGTCAATTGTCGAATTTGATCTGTAATACAAGGTGATGACTGCCTTGGAAAAAAAAAAAAGCCATATGAAGGTACATAATTAAAATTATAAAAATAAATTTTATAACTTAAAAAATTAAGTTTATTGACAAATTAAGATTAACATTTAAAACATTAACTTTTTAAAATATATCACTCCTATAAGCCAGTGCTTCACTCATTTAATTTTTTTTTTATTTAGTTATATAATTGAAAATAATCCACTCTCATCTCTTATTTTATTTTACTCGTAATCATGTAATTAAAATTTAAAATTTTTTAATAAAAAAAGTAATTATTAAATTACTTAAATTATTAACATTCATTCTTAAATTTAAGTATTTTAAATTTCATTAATAAAAAATTCAACTCCCATTGATGATTCAAAAAATTCTCCTTCTCTTCCAATTCCCTCGTGTTCAAAGTGTACATATATATATACTATATAAGTGATCTGCCATTAGAAAGTTATTAAAAAAATATTAGTCTTCGGTGAGGAAAACCCGGAAAAGTATATAAAAAAAAAAAACAAATCTTCATGGTTTTTTTTTTGACTTGGACCAACAACTCAACTCGAGCCAAACGTAAGACGCAACAGCAGGTAAGGTTCCTACCGTTTCCTTTGACCCGCATCCTTACGGAAATTAGAAAGCCAAATAGAATTTGATACGCATTTAATTAATTTGATCTTTGCATTATTACTTTTCAAAGAAAGAGCAAACAAGAGCTGGAATTGACTGACTTTTATATTAGCGTAAGGATTACACTACTTTTTTTGAGGAAGGATTACACTACTTTTCAGAGGTGATGTTATTGCTTATGCTCTCAATTATTAATATTATTTTTTTATTTTAATTAATTATTATATATTTTAATTTATTAAAAAATTAAAAAAAATGATATAAGGGTATAATAAAAAATTTTATTAAAAAATGTGATAATAATTTTACTTAATTTTGGGTTATTTATCTTAAAATTTTAACAATTAATATACTATCTTAAATTTTAAAATAACTCCTTAAACTTTAAAATGCATAAAAAAAATTAGTATGAGAGTTTCTTAAACTTTCAAGTGTATAAATTGATTCTTCTCTTTTGAATAAAATAAGTTGATTTTTACTCTTTAAATAATAAATAATCAAAAAAGTATTTTTGTAATTTAATTGTACTAAATTATAAAATATTATCTTTAAAATCTTATGATATTTGATATAATATAAATTTTAAAAAAATTTAACAAATGTTCTTAGGAGAGGTTAATAGTGCATTATTAATTACATCTTTATAATAAATTTTTATATAAAATATAAAAATAAATATTATTTTTAATATCGATATTTTATTAATAATTTTAATTAGATAATTAATATATTTAAATTTATTTTAATTCTCATATAAATTAATTATAAAAGTGTAATTACTATATCTTCAATACAGATTTAAAAACCAAACTACAAGACATTAGACTCATAATAAATAATTTAGTTACTTTTCCTCATAAAACATCACAAATTTGATTTAAATTACAAACCCGTACGTTTCCAGTTTCCACATTCCTATTGCAGTTAACCACACCAAAAAGGGAAAAAAAATCTTAGTTTGCAGCCTAGGTTGCTGTCACGTAAATATAATAAATTTGTTTTATTTAATTAATTTTTTCCATAAAACTTTAGTTATGATAATGAAAATATGGATTCATAAATTAATTTTAATCTTTTAAATTTTAAGTACAAGTAATTTTTTTATTCTAAGATGTCAAATGATATGTTATATTTATATAAAGATAACTTTTAATTATATAAATTATTAAAATATAAACTATAACTTTTGATTTTTAATTTTATAATTTTAATTATATTAAATTATAAAATATAATTATTAAATTTAAAAACCCATAATTTTAAAATTTTAATCTTTATTTGATAATTAATATTATAAAATTTAATGTTAACAACATTTTATTATTGAAATGTCTTTATGATTTAGTAATCTTGTCATTTTTTTTATTTTGATTATATAATAAAAAATAATCATATTTTATTTTTTATCTTGTTCCATCTATATATTATGTCATATGATTTAAATTTAAAATTTTTTATTTTTAATAAAAAATAATTACTAAATTATTCTGATAATTCACAACAAACCCTCTGGTATGGACTCGCGTACCGACGTGTCGAAAAAAAAAAAAGAACTTTTATCGTTAATTTAAAATAGCAAATAAATTCCAAAGATCACTGCACAAAAGACGAGGGACATTTATGTAAACTAACGTATACGTATAAAATAAAATAAAAACACGAATCTAATCCGAAGACGAAAAGTCGAAAACCATAGTTCCAAAAAAAAAAATCGAAGTCTATCCATTCCCTGTTCCGTATATATATAATCTGCCTTTTTCACTTTCTTTTTCCTTCTTTCTTTATTGAAAATCCAACACACCCTCCATTCTCTTTTCTCTCTCTTCTCTTTCTATTTTATCCTCTCAACCTCCTTTTCGCCGGACTCCGCCGATATCCGTTCCGGCAACCGTCTCCTCTCGCCACCGGAATAGTTCATCACCGCACTCGTACTGCCAAGGTCAGCGCTCTCAGTTCTTCGCCTTTGGCGCTTTGTGCTTCTCTGATCTGCTGGTTGTTGACTCTGCATAAGTTTTTTTTTTTTTTTTTGTTTCAATTTTCTCTTGTCTAACCGTTGTTTGGTCTCCGAGAAAATGAAGGCAAAGAAAGAGAGACGGAAGTCCTGATCTGAGGTTGTTTGCTTAGGTTTAGTGCACGCCAGGAATCCGATTGTGGTGTTTGTGGTTTCGTAGGAGTTGATCTAACAATCGTTTTTGTCATTCAAATTAAATAAAGACATGTCGTTAGGATGCCTTCCTATTTTCATTTATCAAATTTCGGGGTTCCTGGAGTGTGGCTTTCATCATATATTTGCCTTAAATTCTCTCTGGATCAAAGTTTATTTGGGTTTTGGTTAATTTATTTCCGTTGAAGGTTGGTTTATTTATTCTGACCGTGTTTTGGTATTGCTTGATTTCAGATTTTCTGGTTTATTTTTGGAGTCTTCCATTTTGACCATTCTCTGTCTCTGTGTGTGTTTGTGAAGATTGTTTATTGTGTGATGATAAAATTTAGTTATCTGGTCAGCTTCATGCGTCCAGAGATCTCTAACGGTGTCTCTTTATGTCAGATAGGTGCTGTAAGCTATTCTTTTAGGATGTTCGTTAAGAAAATATGTGACTGCAGGCCATTGTTTTAGGATGCTTATTGCATCAGGATTTTTAGTTGTTTTAAGAACTGAAAACCTCTATCACTACGTGATTGGACTTGAGGCATTTTAAAACCCATGTCAATAGACTGCTTTGAATTTTAGAAATTTCTAGATTTGCTTCGTGTGTTGTGGTGCATCCACTAGGCTGGAGCAAATCGAGCTTAGTTTGCAATCCTTTCCCATTGATCTTAACGTGAGTCCGCAACTGGTGCAGTTTTCATTCGGACTTTACCTTTGACAATTTTTTGAACCATTATATAGCTAGCTCTATATTCTACCTTTGAAGTATTTATCAGCTTTAGTTGGCTAGCTGTTTGCTAGTGAGTTATTCGTTTACTCCAAGTGGTGATTGATAGGAAGAGCATGTTTTAATTAATCAACTTTAGAAAGTATGAACATGTTTACTTATCCAATTGATTCAAGGAATCATGTTATTTGCCATGATCCATTGCTCATTTGGTTTATGATTAACTGAATTCATGTAGATGTTTTTGTTTTTTTTTTTTTTTTCTTTTTTGGTATAGGTTTGTGAACATCTGTGCTGAAAAGTTCCTGCTGGCAAGGGTTTTATTTGTATGAATAAGTTGTATAAAAGCTATTTCCAGTGATGGCATCAAGGTCTTCTGCAGACCTTTTAGACTTGGCCTCTGGGAACCTACTGGATATTCCACAAACTCCAAGAGCTCTCCCTCGGTTTATGACTGCCCCTGGGATTATATCTGACTTGGATGATGGGGATTCAGATGTTACTTCATCTGGCTGTTGTGAGCGTAAAATTATAGTGACTAATATGTTACCTTTACAGGCCAAAAGAGATGCAGAGACTTCTAAATGGCAATTCAGCTTGGATGAGGATTCAATTTATTTACAGCTAAAGGATGGTTTTTCTTCAGAAACTGAGGTTATTTATGTAGGATCTCTCAAGGTTGATGTAGATGCTAGTGAACAGGAAGAAGTTGCCCAAAAGTTGTTGGAAGATTTCAATTGTGTTCCTACATTTCTACCCCATGATCTGCAGAAGAAGTTTTATTATGGTTTCTGTAAACAGCAGTTGTGGCCACTTTTCCACTACATGTTGCCTGTGTGTCCAGACCATGGGGATCGGTTTGACCGCCTTCTCTGGCAGGCTTATGTCTCTGCAAATAAGATATATGCAGACAAGGTGATGGAAGTAATTAATCCTGATGATGATTATGTTTGGATACATGATTATCACTTGATGGTCCTACCAACTTTTTTACGGAAGCGCTACAACCGAGTCAAGCTGGGTTTCTTTCATCACAGTCCATTTCCAACATCAGAAATATTCCGAACCTTGCCTGTTCGGGATGAAATTCTGAGGGGCCTGCTCAATTGTGATCTTATTGGTTTTCATACATTTGACTATGCTCGGCATTTCCTGTCTTGTTGCAGTAGAATGCTGGGCCTTGACTATGAATCGAAACGGGGACACATTGGTCTTGATTATTTTGGCCGCATGGTATACGTTAAAATTCTTCATGTAGGAATTCATATGCGTCAGCTTGAATCGGTGTTGAATCTTCCCTCTACAGCAGCCAGGGTCAAAGAGATTCAAGAACAGTTTGAGGGGAAAACTGTGATTGTTGGTGTAGATGATATGGACATCTTTAAGGGTATCAGTCTGAAATTACTGGCTGTGGAACACCTCTTACAGGAGCATCCAGACTTGCGTGGCAAGGTAGTCTTGGTTCAGATTGTGAAACCAGCTAGGGGCTTGGGAAAGGATGTCCAGGAAGCAAAAAGAGAAACCTATTTGACTGCCCAAAAGATCAATGAGACTTATGGTTCTCCTGATTATAAGCCAGTGATTCTGATTGATCGTCCTGTTCCTCTTTATGAGAAGTCTGCTTATTATGCTGTGGCTGAGTGTTGCATAGTAAATGCTGTGAGGGATGGGATGAACTTAATCCCTTATGAGTATATAGTTTGCAGGCAGGGGACTCTTGGTGTGGATGAAGCTGTGGGTGTAAAGGCAGATTCACGTCGGTCAAGTATGATTGTGGTGTCTGAGTTCATTGGCTGTTCCCCATCCCTAAGTGGAGCTATTAGGGTTAATCCATGGGATATTGATGCTGTGGCTGAGGCTTTAAATCTGGCTATTACTGTGCCTGACTCTGAGAAGCAATTGCGGCATGAGAAACACTATAGATATATCAGTACTCATGATGTGGCTTATTGGGCTTGCAGCTTTGCACAGGATTTGGAGAGAGCATGCCAAGATCATTACAACAAACGCTGCTGGGGGATTGGTTTGGGCCTTGGGTTCAGAGTTCTGTCTCTATCTCCTAGTTTTAGGAGGTTAGCTACTGACCATATTGTTTCAGCATATAAAAAAACGAATAGGAGAGCAATATTTCTGGATTATGATGGTACTGTTGTTCCTGCATCTTCCATTATTAAAACTCCAAGCCCAGAAGTCATATCTATCTTGAAGATTCTTTGCAGTGATCCTAAGAACACTGTGTTTATTGTCAGTGGGAGAGGGAGAAGCTCACTTAGTGAGTGGCTTGCTCCATGTGAGATGCTGGGAATAGCAGCTGAGCATGGGTACTTCATAAGGTATGGCAGTAGAAGCTTTGATATTTATATAGTAATTTAAATTGCCTTATCATTAAACTGAATTTCTTATCTTTTCCTACTTCAGATGGAGTAAGGCCTCTGAATGGGAAACTAGTGCCATGGCTACTGACCTTGAATGGAAAAAAGTTGTGGAACCTGTAATGAGACATTATACAGAGGCAACAGATGGTTCCAACATAGAGATTAAAGAGAGTGCTTTAGTATGGCACCATCAAGATGCAGACCCAGACTTTGGATCATGCCAAGCCAAGGAATTGTTGGATCATCTAGAGGATGTACTTGCCAATGAACCTGTTGTTGTTAAGAGGGGCCAGCAAATTGTTGAAGTTAAGCCACAGGTATGTTTGTGAATTATGTTCCTCTGGACACGAGCGGTTACCCTTCCTGGATAATCTGTCTCTATGTTTTGTGTGCACACATGCATATTTTGAAGCAATCATCTTCTTATGTTGTGTAGGGAGTAAGCAAAGGATTGGTCGCTCAGAAGGTTCTGTCGGCAATGGTGGAAGGTGGGAAACCACCTGATTTTGTGATGTGTGTTGGTGATGACAGATCTGATGAAGACATGTTTGAGAGCATATTAAGCACAGTTACCAGTCCATTATTGCCTGCAGCTCCAGAAATATTTGCTTGCACTGTGGGCCAAAAGCCAAGCAAAGCTAAGTATTATCTTGACGATCCTGCTGATGTATTAAAATTGCTTCAAGGTCTTGCTGCTGCTTCAAGTGTAAAGCCTAGGCATCTGCCTGAGGTCCAGGTTTCTTTTGAGAGTGCTGTTTGAGTTGAACATGTTGTCTGGCACAGATTTACCTCTTCATTTCGTTGGTACTCTTGACAATCTTTGATCGATTTAGAGGAAACTTTAGGTTGTTGGTGGGTCCTTGGTGGATGCAGTGAGAATGTTTCTATCTCAAATCCTCGAGGCGATTTGCAGATTTTCATAAATCGGAAGACCCAACTGTGTTTTTGTACATCTTCACGTCACTGATGTACTTGGGTGCGGATGGGATAGGGAATTCACATGTCTATAATAGGCTTCTTATCATCTGGTGGCACCATTAACTTGTATAGAGATACACTGCCTTTTTCCAATACAGTTTTCAAATTTGATTCAAGCATATATCATTATTTGATTGTCACCCAAATTCTGCATCTCAACTTGAACGTGTTAAAAACATTTTAAAGAGTTCAGTTTATCCAAATGCAAGAGTTTCTTTAGTACCTACTACTCGTTTCTTCTATATCTCGACAATGAAGTTGCCTCAGGAGGACCCTGACCCTTTATCCATACCTCACGAAAGCAAAAGAGAATAGCATAAAGAGAAAAGAGCCTTAAGAGAGGCAGAGCCTAGACACGTTTATCTACATCAATTGGAAGGTGCCTGCTCCTTTTTCCTCCTCTTTTAGTTACATTTGAGTTTTTGGAGGGTAAGATCATAAGGAGAAGCGAGAAAACTTTTCACAGCGTGCTACTTGGCATTCAAAGGTAAAGAATAAGGAATCCGAATCCTAAACTCCTTAAAACCTTAGAATGTCCTCCAACTCCAGCGTGCGAGCAAACCCATTCGCTATATTGGCAGACATACCAAAAATATTACGCTATTGTTTTATATATATATAATAATTGTTTTGTCCTTTTTTTTTTTTAATTTTAAAAGAAGTATATATGTCAATGAACTAAATAAGTTA